CCTCCCCCTCCGTTGGCCGCGCCACCCGCGGGAGGGCTCGCCTTGGCGACGACCTTCTCCATGATGCGCTTCTCCATGGCTGCCAGCTGGCCTGACAGATCGGCTGGGGGGCCCTTGGCCCACGCACCGCGAGGGCCGCGAGGCTGCCCAGGAGGAGCGCCAGGAGGAGCACGAGCCGATGGGCCCAGAGAGGCAGCAGCGGTGCGCGCGCGCTCCACACTGGCCCTCGGGGCTGACTGCCCGCAGAGGCAACGTATCCGACAGGCGAAATTCTGGTTCCTGCCACAACTTGGACACCCCCAAAAGGGCGATCGGGGCCCTGGGAGTACGTCCGCCTCATCACGTCGAGCCATGCACAGCACGGCTTGTCACAGGAAGCTTGCTCCACCAGGAGCTCACAAAATAGATTCCGAGCCACAAAGACCCGCAGGAGCGGCTGCCGCTCTGAAGACAGCTCCTGCAAGCCCAAAAACTTGGGCCAGAACGGCTAGAGCCCACCAGGAGCCCCCGAGGCGCCCCCAAGAGGCTCCAAGCAGCCTCCAAGAGGCCCTCAAGCAGCTGCGAAAAGCTCTCCATATGCCCCAAGAGCTCTCCAAGAGGCCTAAGATGGGGGTCGGCAGAACGGAGTAAACCGTAAGCCACTAGAATATCAAAGAAGATCGGCATTGCGGCATGGGCTTAAAGAATGCACACCTCCAGGGTGGGCTCACCCCCCGCGAGGCTGAGATGCGTATTTGGGCTCCCGGATTTTCTGTGATAGCCCTGGTCCGGGTAGGGCCTGGAATAACTCCTGTTCCAGCAGGGTGCTGGACAGAATCTGATCCAGGAAAACTCGAGCTGAGTGCAACCTGGGGCAACTCCGGCGCGAAACCAGGAAGCCCGAATCAAGAGTCATCCCTGACCGCCCTCCCCTGATAGCTCGGGGCTCTGACGCTTAGTGGGCCCCAAAAACGGCAAGGCCGTCTACCGTTTCCGAAACGAGTCTCTTGAAAACGGCAACAAAAAACACGGCGACCGGAAGCGGCAACAAAAACGGCTCCGGCGTTGAACCCGAGCTGGAACCAGAAACAAAACGGCGACGCGACGGACCCGGCAAAAAAACGGCGTCGGACCCGGCAACAGAAACGGCAAAACGGGACCGGCAGAAAACGGCCCTGTCGTTTCCAGGGCCCACTACGTAAATCCCGAGCCACCCCCCCTGGCAGCTCGGGGCTCTGACGTGCATCCTCAGCCACCGCTTCGGGGTCTGTTCAGCTCCAGGAGCTGCGGTGCGTCCCGCCTGCACTCTCGGCGGTGCGTCCTTGGATCGGCGCCCATTGGTCGCACGGGGATCCAGCGGTTTATGTCGGTCGGCGGCTGGCCCTGGGGCGGGCCTTCTCGGAAGGCTCATAAGGGCTCCCCGGCCTTCTGCGAGGCCTTCTCAGCCCTCTCCGAAGCCAGAGGCGGCTTCTCAGAAGGCCAGAGGGCTTCTGAAGCCCCTCCGCCCTCTGAGAAGGCCTGCCCCTCACTCACTCCACCCCTCGTCGCGCCGCCGACAGAGCGGGAAACGAGGTGGGCAAGATCGAAGGAGAGCACCTCTGCACAAGAGTAAACTTTCGGAGACACGCACGGATACCTCTTGCCAGGGGTCCAGCCTCGATCCAATAAACCCTCGCGCACCTCCGAATGTAAAGGTGTATCGCAGGCCTAGAGGTTGACACCAACACCAATATCGGCAGTGTGCCTTCACCGAGGGAAGAAGATCTCGATCTCGGTGATGGTGGCAATATTTTGGCTTCCAAGGTGGCCGAAGTGTTACCACCGACACCGAAATCTAGGATCATCTCCCCCCTGTGGAGGCAGCCCCCTGTCTTGGTGTTGGTGCCCATTTCCAGGCCGCCAAGTGTACCCGGATATTCTTCGATCGTAGAAGCAAGGAGTTTCGACACCGTCGTCGCGAGGCGCCAGGGAGGCCCTCCCGGTGGCGTCGTCCCTCGTGCTGCGGCTTCCCGTTCGAGACATCCCCAGTCCTCAGCTCGGGGAGGAATCGTAGACCTCCTCGATGGAGGTGTCCCCCAGGAGGGCCTCGAGGAACTCTGCGACGAAACGCTGCTGAGCGAGGACGGCGGCCAAGGGGACCCGCCACCGCTGATGCCCGCAGCAGGAGACGATGAGGACAAACGCCTCTATACCACACCTGGAGGCGGCAGGGGGGTCTGAACTGGTGGTTGGGGAAACTGGGCACTCGGTCAGGATTGTAAAAAAAACATGTTTTTGTTTTGCAATCCAGGGTTTTTTTTTGCAATCCTTCGTTCAGGAGGGGGGATGGAGCCAAATCCAATCAAACTCGGCCCCTCCGGACCCCTGCAGGGGTCCAGCTGGTGCAGGTCCTCGCCCCGGCTGCGTGCTTCATTGAAGGGGCCCCAGGACACACAAATAAATACACACAAATAGGAATATTCCCTATATTTTCCTATATGTTCTGGGTTTCTGTCTTCCCCCCCACTTCCCATATTTTCCTATATTTTCTGGGGAATCGAGATTTAATTGTGTCTGTGTGGTTCTTTTCCTCCTGATTCATGGCCCCGGGCTCGAGAGCGGGCCTCGGTGGCTGAGAAAGGGCAGACCTCGGACCTCGAACCTCGCCCCCCAGCCAGGACCCAAGAAGGCCCCTAAGAGCTCCTCCTCCTCCTCCTCCTCCTCCTCCTCCTCCTCCTCCTCCTCCTCCTCCTCTCCTCCTCCATCTCCTCCGCCTCCTCCCCCCCTCCTCCTCCTCCTCCTCCTCCTCCTCCTCCTCCTCCTCCTCCTCCTCCTCCTCCTCCTCCTCCTCCTCCTCCTCCTCCTCCTCCTGGGGAGAGGCCCTCGGCGCCCGACGCCCTCCGCCCCCATCGCACTCAGGACCCCCTGAGGCCCCTGAGTGCTGGGCCACCTCGGACCCCCAGAAGGCCCCAAGAGCCTCGGCACCCCAAGGCGTGGGTCCCAGGCGGGAGGCGAGAAGGGGCAGACCTTCTCAGAAGGCGGCGGGCTCTTCAGAAGCCCGCCGGCCTCCTGAGGAATCTCATGGTGTCTTCGGGGAATGCCTCCAGAGCGACTCGGAAAGCCCGAAGCCCTCCGAGCCTGCCGAGCAGGCCCGCCCGCCCTCCCCCCCCACCCGGTGAGGGGCAACGGCAACGATAGGGGGGGACTGGCACAGGGGGGGATGCATCGACCTGGAGTCGGCGATACATCGCCGAGGGATCGACGACAGGCCTCCGATCGTGAATCCGCACACTTCCCGGGCAGGTCGGGGCCCTCGGGCCCCTGTCGGCGATCGATGGGCGATTGGGGGACGATGCGTCCCCCACTATGCCTATCCCCCCTATGCCTATCCCCCCATGTTTCAAACATGTTTTATATATACATATATATGTTTATATATATACACACATATATACGTGTGTACGTATACCTCTACATATATAACGTGTTTGAAACAATGTTCAGACATCTGAGAATTATTTCGCAGCATGCTTCCTCTCCATTAGCCGACTTCCACAACCCAAGCTCTCGTCGCCGACCCCGACGCTCGGCCGGCGGGCCCCCAGTACGCTCCCCCCCCCCCCCTCCCGCCCCGCCTGGGTAACGTCACGGCTCGCGCCGGCGCCGCTTGGGGATTGCTGGGGGTAGCGGACCCCCAGACGGCACTGGCACTATGCATGACGTGACCAACCCCATGTCGCCCCCCCCCCCGTGGTAATTAACGGCCGCATCGCCAGGGCATCAGAACACGGGCCCCGTCCCAAGACCTGCGCCGCCCTGATTGTTGCAGTACGCCCCCCCCCCCCCCCGGTGACGGCCGCATCGCCGGGGGATTGGACAACGGGCCCATCCCAAGACATGCGCCGCCCTTTTTTTTGTTGGATGCAACATTCATGCCTCTGAAAGTGACGAGCCTGCACAGACAGCCAGAGGCGCACTGAAGGCAAGGCAAATTACCTGTAATGTATAATAGCGGGATGAATTCGTCGATATCGACCGAAACACCGGCCCCCTGCGTCCCGGCCCCTTCCCCGGGGCCGGCTTCCAGTCCAGGGGTCGTTTGTGGACGGCCCCGGGGGCCGGCGAGCGCCCCCGGAGGCCGACAAACGGCAGCAGACCTCCGCCCCGAACCTGCTCCCCTCGCCATCGCTCGGACGTCCCTTCCCCGCGTTTTTCTGTCCGGCTTCGTGCGTGGCTCTTGCGCCACATGCTCCAGGCTGCTCCTCGATGGCCCCCACCGAGGACAACATGCACACGCCCGAGCGACGCCAGGTCCCCGACGCGCCCTCGCCGCCCCCGCGCGGTCCTGGGAGCCCCCCGATTTGGACGCCCGAAATGGGCACGGAAACAATGGACACAATGCCCGACAACAAATGTTGTCCCAAACCAACAGCGGCCGCTGTTGGGCAGGCGGCCTCCTGTCCCGAATGGACCCAGGCCGCGGCGGCGTGGACAGCGAACCCTGCTCAAAAGGAACAGGAACTGCTGTTGGGCATCGTACCCATTCCTTCCGTACTCCAGATTTCGTAATAAAGGGAGGGGCATCTCTTTTGGGGGGGGGGGGGTCTCTTCCGGGCTATCTTGGAGGGCCTGGGGGTCCGGGGACGGTGTTTGGGAGGGTTCTCCCACGGAAGGGGGGGGGGGTCTGAAATGGCTTGTCTTGGAGGCTCCAGACCCCCTCCCTTTTATGACGGAATCTGGAGTACCCATTTCGGGCGCCCAGACCCACTCTTCCCGTGCCCATTTCGGGCGTCCAGACCCGAAGGGGCCCTCGGGCCCGCGGGGATCGACGATGCATCGGCGATGCATCGGCGATGCTTCGTCGACGTCCCCGATGCATCGCCGACGTCGCCGTGAAGCCACTCGAGGGGCCCCTCGAGGGCCCTCGAGGGCCCCCCCCGCCGTCGCCCGAGGGCCCCTCGTCGCCGAGGGGCCCTCGGGCCCCTAAGGGCCCCGAGGGGCGGCCGCGCCCGCCCGCGCGGGGCCGCGCGCCCCGACGGCGCCTCGGACTCCCGGGCGAGCGCCCGGGCGCGGAGCTCCGCCCGCGCCTCGGCCAGGTCGAGGGGCTGCTCCAGCCTGTCCGCCCAGGGGTGGGCAGGAGGAGGGAAAATTAAAAGCACGAGGAGGAGGAGGAAGGAGGCAGGAGGAGGCAGGAGGAGGAGGAGGAGGAGGAGGAGGAGGCACGAGGAGGCGGAGGCACGAGGAGGAGGAGGAGGAGGAGGCGGAGGAGCAGGAGGAAGAGGCGGAGATGGCGGAGGAGCAGGAGGAAAGTCGGGAATCGAAAGTCTACGAACAAAAAAGAGATCGAGGCTCGAAGATAGAGGGGCAGAAATAAGCGGGGAGGATCGATAACGGCATTAACGCAAGATGCCGGAGGCGCGCGTGGACCTGTTGGATATGCACGGGCCCGCTATGGCGGCGGTTTCGGCGCCACCCTTGGCGGGCCTCCGATCAAGTATGTTTATGCTGGGCGTTGGTTCCTCGGGAGGAGAAGAAGGTGTCGAGGTGATGAGGGAGGGGAGGAAGTAGTTAGGATGCAAGTCCTGGTATGCTTTCGCAAGGACTGCTAAGCACGCAATCAAGACGCGCGCGACTTGAACTCGATTCGGGGTAGCGCAATCATCTCGCTCCAACATGGCACTAGCGGCAAACAACAGAGATCCAGGATAGTGTCAACTTCTGTTGCTGCGAGACCAGGCAGATGAGGGCGACCGAGACAGGGCTGACGGTGTGACACCACGAGCAGAAACAACATGGCCTCGCTCCAAGCGAAGTGCTGACAACTGTCTTACCGTCGACCCAGTGAATGCGGATTAAATAATTGCAAGGCAGGGGAGACATGTGGTCTTTGCCAGAGAACCAGAACTTTCAAACATGCTGACCAAAAGACCGATACAACCGAAAATGGTCAGGGCGAGGGGAACCCGCATGGAATGGCAAAGGCAAACGAAACAGACAGACATGAAGAGGGCGACGGCATGCGTAAAAGCACTTGAAGGAGACAAGATGCCTGATGCCCAAATCCCGGGCTGTGTAATAGAGCCCAGACACCGCAATCCATGTCCGCGGAGATTCTATCAACTCCTGCGCACAAGGCCAACTCAGACCACACGCCACCGCGACCGTATGCTCTGCTGCACTGCTACTGTGCGCGCAGGGAACATCAACCATCCTGATCATCAGCATCATCGGTTGGCTGGAATTTCTGGGATTCTCGCCTGCCCGCACACCCCACTCGTGCCGCTGCAGACGTGTCCAGACGCCGGACGCCCTCGGAAGACCAGGCACGTCCCGGTCTGCGTATACGCTTGGGCTGCGCTCCCCCCGAGCGAGGAGCGCAGCAGCACAACACCGATGCTGGCCGGGCCGAGCCTGGGCCCGGGGCTGGAGCGGCCAGGCAGGAGGTCCGTGCAGGCGGGACTCCCGAGGAGGCAGAGGAGCATCTCAGATGCAGCGGGGGCCAGTCCACAGGAGACCTTCCACAAGAAGCCCAACCCTGAGGCCGCAGGACGCCCATTGATTTCTGGTATGGGAACGTCACGCTTCCCATACAAAAACCTTCGAAACCCAAGGAAACCAAGGCACCCTGGAGGCAAGCAGGGTTTTCTTGGCATGGGTCTGCACGGTACCCGCCCGGATTCGAGAACGTCTGCTTGGAAGCCTCTGGGGTCTTCTGAGAAAAACTCCTGCCTTCTGAGAAGCAGACCCCCCACCTCACCACCCCCTTCGGAGCTGGCTCACTGACGGCAATTCGGTCATGGCAAGTATCTTGGATACCCGCCCGGCTTCGAGGACGTCTGCTTAGAAGCCTCTGGGCCCTCCCGTCAAGACCCCTGCCTTCTGAGAAGCCACGCCCCTCCCTCGCCCATCCCCTCGGCGCTGGCTCACAGACGGCAGCTCGGCCCCACAGGTTGCCAAAACTCTGCGCATCGCGCCCCGCGGTGCGCGACGCGCGGCTATGTCGTCGCGCTCTCGCGACGCCGCCCTTGGAGAAAGGCGCCTCTTCCAAACCGAACCGCGATGCGCGAGTCGGGATTATCTTCGCGCCCCCTGGGGGCGACCCAGGACACACTTTTGAGTCGGCGGCTGGGCAGAATAACTGCGCTTGCGGAGGGGCGAACTAAACGGGGGCACCTGCGTAGAGAATTGTCCCACAATGCAAGGAAAATGGGAAAGGACAGGGAGGGCGGCGGAAGGAGGGGGAGGAGGAGTGAGGGCCGCTCAGGGGGACGGACGGATCACACCTGGTGACCTAAGACACACAGACATGGTCGACGAAACACGGGCCTGCAGAGGATGGCAGGGACGGGGAACGTGCGGGAGAGCAGCACAGGAGCTCCTATAGAGTCATCACCGGGCCTGCGCAGGACGCCACCAGTGCGAGGTACAAGATCAGACTCGAGCCCCATGGGACTAGGACGGAGGCAACTCGAGCTCTTGCCGCACTCGAGAGAATCACTGACCAATGCAGTGTCACAGATCGCGGCTTGAAGCATCCGTCAGGAAGAGTTCAACCTTGCCTCAGGCTCAGCTGGAGGAGGAAGAGCGGGAGTATTCGGCGGTGGACAAACCTCCCTTTTGTAAACCCCCCCTTAGTGAAAACGGCCTGGGACCGAAACCGACGGACCTGGACCCGCAAAAGTGACGGCCGCGACGCCCTCTCGCGAAGCGAAAACGGCCGATTCCTGAATCGACGTGTCAGGATAGGAGGTCTGTCCAACCCCGAGAATAACTGATCAATGCATTGTCACAGATCGCGGCTTGACGCATCCGCCAGGAAGAGCTCAAAGCTTGCTTTCGGCTCCGCTTGAGGAGGAAGAGCGGGCGCATGGGCGGCGACGTCCGAACCCTGGCCCGCCGACCAGCCATCGCCCCTCCGGATCAGATGGGAGGCGGGCGGGTGTGGACCTCGCCACGCGCTCGACGAATGCCGATCCCCGACCCCGCCGCCCATCGTCGGGAGCGGCCAAGAGGGGGGGCGTCCAAGAGGGGTGTGTGCAAATCATGACCGGCGGCATGTGCGCGGCCCAGCGGGGGGGCCAGGGACGTAATGAAATGAGAAGAGGCGCCATGAAATCTGGGGAGATATCATGGCCCCCGCCATGATATCCACCCCCCCTAGTCATCACCCCCCTCTTTTCCGCCCCCGACATCGGGTTCCAGCCTGTTGGGGTTCCAGCTGGATCTCCTGGACCTCCCGATTCTGCCGTGGCAGGCTCGGGCTGCAAGCATGTTTGGGGTGCAGCCGCACTCCCACCCGAGACGCCACGGGTCCTCGGTGGAGTTCTGGGCGTGCACACGCGTGGTTCGCTGTTTTGAACATTCGGCCGCTGGGCTGTCGTTTGGACAGGCCCTGCCTGAATCGTGGAATCGGCGAGGCCAGGACTCGGGCTTCGCCGTCGAGGGGGAGACCCCGCTCGCGCCCAGAGGGCTGCGCAACACGGGCCACGCGGGCGAGCGCGCCGCGGTCCAGGTGGTCCGCCAGGGCCGCGGCCCGCGCGGCGGCGAACTCGGCCCGGAAGTCGTCCAGGTGCCCGGGCTCCCCGTCAGCTTTGTGAGCGGCCTCGCATCGGGGGCACCCGCGCGCCCTGGCGCTGCCAGGTACTGGCAAAAGCATCGGCAAGGGCGCAGGGTAAATTTCTGTTCCCAAGCTTTCTGTTGTGCTGGGTCCTCGTTTTCAATGCCCATCGCCCCGCGTCCTGCATTCCCGTCTTCCCCCTCCGCCTCCTCCTCTGGTTCGGATACCTTCTCCACACGACAGGGGGGAATGGTGAGGGAGGAGGAGGAAGAGAAGGAGGCGGAGGAGGGAAGATGGAAGATCGTAGCATTTATCAGTTCTTCCACGGTGTGGCGTTTCGCTGTCCGCAGCAGATCCTCACGTACATGCTCCTCTACCTGTCGTGTGCACGCAGGCAGTGTGGTGTACGCCAGCGCTGCGTTGCACGCGGATGCAGTGGCGTAGACAGGCGCTGTTGTGCACAGGCGCTGCGGTGCACGCAAGCATTGTCGTGTACACAGGCGATGTGTTGCACATGGCTGTTGCGGTGTACACATTCGCGGTGGTGTACACCGGCGCTGCACGCAAGCATTGTGGTGTACACTGGTGCCGTGTTGCACACGGCTGCCGCGTCCGCGCGCACGACGACGATGAGCGACCAGCGACGAGCGACGAGCGACGACGACAACTGCGGACCATACCCCTACGCGGATTCATATGAAGACGCCCATGCGGATCCCGATGCGCACGGCGGCAATACCCAAGGCGCACTGGCGCACTGGGGGGAGGGGGGGGGGGGCGTTATATTATAGGGGGGGGGCCGGGGGCCAACGCCCCTTCGTCGCCAAGCAACACAAAGAAACACGTCTGTGGAACCATGGGGCGCTCCGCCGAAAGCCCCCGCCGCCTGCTGCCCCCCCAGGGCTGCGCCGACAGAAACGCGAATCATCTGTAACGGGCTACAGCCAATTATGATTGGCCTCTGCGATCCCATCAGCAACGACGCTCCGCGCTTCCCACGCTTGCCTTCGTCCTTGTGCTGGCCCCTTCCCTTGGTTTCCGCCTGTCTTGCGGTGCTCACGCCTGCACCTGGCTGGGTGCCTCGGCTGGATGATTCCCCAACTAGTGCTTGCACTTCCGGGTTGTTACATATGGTCTAAGGAATTGGGCCTGGGTGGCGGTCTGGCGGCAATGTTGCCGCCGTCGCCGCCCAGTCGCCGCCCAGTCGCCGCCCGTCGTCTGAGCCTGAGTGGCGGTCTGGCGGCTATGTTGCCGCGGTCGCCACCCGTCGTCTGAGCCTGGCTGGCGGTCTGGCGGCAGAAGTTGCACCACGTAGATTGCACAACAAAGATTACACCACCTAGATTGCTCCACCTTGATTGCGCAACATATCCGCCACCGTGCCTGCGGCACGTTCAGGCGTGGAAGAATGCCCATGGCTGTCACGACAGGTTCCTGTAATATTCTTGAGTGGCCCCCTATGTTCTGGGCCACGCCCACCCGACTGAATCGCCTCTATTACCGGAGGTCCCTGGGGCTCTCCAAGGCTTCCATGGCGGCTCAGTAGGCCCCCAAGACGGTCCAAGAGGGCCCCGAGTCGCCGAACGATCGGTCGACGATGCCCAAGATGGCCTCAAAATGACCCAAGAGGCCTCCCAGAAGGACTACAAGATGCAACAATCATGGTTTTGTCGAAGGCTCTTCGACGCTCCAAAACAAGAATGCCCCAAGACGGCCTGGGAGCGCACCGAAACGGCCCAAGAGGCACCCAAGACGGTCCAGAAGGGCCCCAACCAAGACGGCGTCCACAGGAGCCCAAGAGAGGGAACACAAACCGAACATCCGTGCGTTCCGTCCCTAGAGGCCCCCAAAGGCTCCCAAGAGGCCCCAAAGAGGCCTCCGAGAGGCCCCCGAGAGGCCCCAAGAGGCCCCAAGAGGTTCAAAAACAAAAACCCAAACTGCCCCAAAACGCCCCCAAGAAGCTTCAAAATTGACTCCACGAGGCCCCCGAGAAGCCCCCACGAGATCCCAACGAACATCCATGAAACTTCATGCCCACAAAGCAGGCACGATGCCGGGACATGCCGTAGGCAGGCACCACATCAATTATGTTTGCTACAAAAATATTGACCTTTACCTCCCCCCAGACTTAACGGCAAAACTTGTTATTATAGTTTTTCGTTCGTATCTGACTCCCCACACTTGCCTGTCCAAGATGTGAGTTCGTACTGTCGCAGGCAAACGCACAGCAAGCCCCCCTTCTCTTTTTCTGAACAAGCGCGCATTCGTTGATTCGCCTTTCTAAAAACAGAATCGACTCGACCCCCCCCCCCGGAGTTATCGCCCCCCTGACCACATGTCCATCCAAAATATGAAATCACAATGTCCTAGGCCAACCGGTATTCCCCTCCTGAGGTTCCCATGTACAAAAAAACACTATGCGGTGACATTTGTTGTTCTAACATGGCACTGTTTCACGCATCCCTTGCAACAAAAATGGGACGAAGTGCGCACGCGCGCGTCGTCGCGCGCGCATGCCGAAATCCTTCAAAAACCTTCGGTGCCGGAAGGATTTCGCAATCGATTTTCCCAACAAAACATACAAAAGCACAGGGTTTCGTAACACTGATTTGCTAAACAAGCTTACGCGCGAGCTCTTGCGAAATCTTAGGAAACCTTTGGTTTTTCAAAATTTTCACAACATGCTACCAAACGGGCGTCGCGCGCGCGCATGTCGAAATCCGCCGACCCTGTCGGCGTGTGCGAAGGGCTTCCTCGTCCGTTCCTCGCCGCCCCTCCTTCTTCCTTCCTCTTTTTTCTTTTTGGGCCGTACCCTCCTGCCGTCATGCCGTTGTCGATTCGAAGGGAAGCCCCTTCCCTTTGATCCCTTCCCCAGGGGGGGGGGGTCCCGGGGGGAGTGGGGGGGGGCGGGGGTGGGGGGTAGGGGGGGGGGTGGGGAGGGGGGGGGCAGATTAGTTTTTCCTGGGGCGGCCTCGAAACATCGAAAACACTCAAAATGAGGTCCTGATGCCCAAGATGGCCCCCGAGACGGCCCAAGAGTGCCCCGAGTCGCCCAAAGATCGGCCGAAGACGCCCAAGATAGCCCCAAGACCGTCCAAGAAGCCTCCAAGACGTCCCAGGCCCCCTCCAAGAGCACCCCCAAGAAGGGCCCAAGAGGCCACCCTCAATACTTTCCCATCGGAAACTTACATTTCTAGCATATACGACGTTTCGGCCTGCACGGGGTCACAGACAGCTTCGTCTTCAGGGTCGGCGGCACCAGCCGTAAGGCCTTCGCAATCTGTCGAACGCCCTTGCGCGTGTGCCGTCGCGAGAATCCTCTACAAAAAATGGGACGAAGTGCAGACGCGCGCGTCGTCGCGCGCGTACGCCGAAATCCTTCAAAACCCATCGGTTTCGGAAGGAATTCGAAATCGCGCGTCCAAAAAAATCTACAAAAACACAAGGTTTCGCAACACGGATTTTCAACAACAGCGTGCGCGCGCGCTCTTGCGTCGTCGTCGCCGTCGTCGCCGTCCTCCCTCCTCCAGCGTTGTCGTCGTCGTCGTCGCCTACGTCGTCCTCTGTATTTCCTCGTGTCCGTCGTCGTCGTCCTCTTTGGCGTCGTGGTTGTTTCCGTCGTCGTTGTCGCCGTGGTCGTCCTTCCTCCCTCGTCGTCGTCGTCGTCCGTCGTCGGCGTCTCGTCGACGTCCCCCCTATTTCGTCGCCGTGGTCGTCGTCGTCGTCGTCGTTGTCGTCGTCGTCTTCCCTCCTCCCTCGTCGTTGTCGTCGTCGGCGTCGCCGTCCTTCCTCCTTCTTCGTCGTTCGCGTCGTCGCCGTCCTCTCTCCTCCGTCGTCGTTGTCGTCGTTGTCGTCGTTGTCGCCGTCGTCGTCCTTCCTCCTCCCTCGTCGTCGTGTTCGTTAGCGTCGTCGTCGTCGTCGTCGGCGTCATTGTCGTCGTCGAAGTCGTCAGAGACGTCGTCGGTGTCGTCGTAGTCGTTGTCGTCGTAGCCTGTCTTAAGAGGTTTTGCAAACCAAGTTGCAGGTGGGTGGGTGGGATGTTTGCAAGAGCGTGGGATGTGTCAAATCATGTGTGAAAATCATTCACAAATCATATTCGAAAACTCCTTGCAACAAATGAAGGACGTGTACACGCGCGCGTCGTCGCGCGCGCACGCCGGAGTCCTACGAGGCAAACTAGTTGTGTTGTAAGCCTGTCAACATCGAGTTCCCCGAAAACATATGGAAGACGAATGGCTTCACAACAAAAATTCAAAACAGCCTGCACGCGAGCTCATGTTAACTTTTCGAAATCAACAGTGGGTTTTCCAATCTTGCACTCACATGCTACCAAAACCCCTCGCGAGCGCATGTCGAAATCATTCGGGCGCCCTTGCGCGCATGTTGTCGCAAAACAAAAGCCTCCAACACATGGAACGAAAAGCGCGCACGCGTCGTCGCGCACGCATACCGAACTCCTTCAAAACTCGAGGTGCCGCCAGGATGTCAATATCGGGTGCCCCGATAACATACGAAACACCAGTGGTTTCGCAACAAGAAGTTTCAGAGATAGCCTGCGCGCACGCTGCTTCGAATCCTTGACAGAACCATGAAACTGTTTTCCACATGTTTATCATCTTCGACTAAACGGACCATTCGCGGGGGCATGTCGAGATCATTTAAACGCCCTTGCGAGAGTGCTGAAAGGGGGCACGTTCCGTCAAATAATTCCATACGGGCCAGTCAGGCACGCCAGCCGCACACGCATAGCGAACTCCTTTCAACGCCTTCGTCACCGACGCGAGGATGCCATCATCGACGCCAGCGTGATCAGCATCGGCGCCATCATTGGTCTTGCCGTCGTCATTGGCATCATCGTCATGAACATCGCTACGTTCATCTTCGTGTCTGCCGTTGTCGACGTCGCTATGAGACTGCGCCCGTCCGGGTCACCCGGGCAAACGTCCTGAATGACAAGCGAGCAACGAACAGCGAACAGTGTTACATTATTTTCCCATCCTCGAAACATTATGATCCCCCCCCTCAGGAGCACGTTGGTCTTTCCA